TGAATTATAGTTTCCCTTTTAAAAATGATTACCTTATTGGTATGAAATTTTGAGTGAACGTTTTCTTGTGCAACTAAAGGGTATTGCTTTGGGGAGAAGAGATTATATGGACAGATTCACTATCTGTTAGTAGCAAAACTTCAGATTCATCTCATTCCATAAATTTAAGTAATTGTTTCTTATTTCATTCTAGACCATGGCAGATATGTGTTTTCCTGTGCTTCTGAAGTAAGCTTAGCCATGTGACTTTTTTTTTGGTCATTGAAATATGAACAAAATGATGTGTGTCATTTCCTGGTGAAATCCTCTATGGTTTGGTACACTGTTTTGTATGTTTTTGGCTTGAGATGGTGGAATCTTTGTTAGCTTAAATGTCTGTGTGATTTTTTTTTTCTCTCATTGAGTTTATTGGTACATTTTAGTTGCATTCATCATTGGGATCTTGTGCCTTTATATGACAGGTCTTGGTTCTCATTTTTTCCCCTTATACCTGCCCTCCCTTCACTCCCTCCTACCCTTCCTATTTACAAACACTTTATTTCCATTTTTTCATTTTCTCATATTTTTTCTTTTCCCTTATTACCTTTCCCCTACCCTTCCCACTTTCCCTACACTTTTAGCTCTTTTCTTCCTATTTCACATTGTCAATTATATCATTAGAATCTTATGTACTATTTTAGTTTTTCACCCCAGAGAAACTATTCGGTATTTACACATGTGTGACTTATTTTTTTCACTTAGAAATATATTCTCAATTTGGGGTTAATTCTTTAGTCAGCCCATGGTGGACACAGTATGAGTGACAAATAAACCATTATTGGTGTAAGCACTGAGATTTTGGAATTGTTTATTTCTGTGGTGTAATCTTTCCTGTTTTGACTGACATACCAGTTTAATTTGCTCTTTTTCACTTTCTCTTATTGCAGTCCACTACCAACACTCATTTGAAATATCTACTTTTGAAGCTATAGAGTGTACTGCAGATAGTGAATCACTGAGATTTTCCATATCATTTTTTATTAGATGCCTGTTGTTAGGATTTTAAATGACTTATTGAATTTTATTGTATTTACATGTCTAAATAGGAACAAGTGTTGGAGTCACTTTGTTGCAGGAGGAATTGGCAAGTGACATGCACATAGAGATGAGCTGAATGGAAGTAAAATAAAGAGTTTATTTTGTCAGGCAAAGGTCAATCACTGGCACTGCCTTTTTGAGTGTGATTTGACCTTTGCTGACAAATAAACTTTTTATTATTTTACTTCCGTTCTGTGCTTTTCTGTGTGTGTCACTTACCATTTCCTTCCACAACAACTTAAAACAAGGAGATTATTTTTGAATATGATTTTAAATTCAGTAGCACATGGCTATAATTCAACACTCAGGAGGATGAGCCAGAGCTACATAGTGAGTTTAAAGACAGCTTGAACTATGTGTTGAGATCCTTTCTCAAGAAACAGACGGACGGACAAACAAACACACAGATTTTGGAGAACTACAAGAAAAGAGCAAATTGTCTCTAATGACAGAAACTTAAAATGTTTAAAAATATATTTTGGGGTCAGGGGTGTAACTCAGTGGCACCATGCCTACCTTGCAAATGCAAGGTCCTGAGTTTCCCAGGACTGCAAAAACAAAAACAAAAATGAAAACAAACAAACATAATATATATAAAGTAAAAATATTTTGCTATTTAAATAATATTTAAAATACATGTGTTATTGCTTCAATTATTTTATCTACCTCATTCTTTCTGTTCTCAGACTTCAGTTACCTGTATGTTAGACCTCTTCACTGTGTATTCGTGTCTTATCCTTTATTTTCTGTTTCCTATCATTTCTTTTAGAAGCATTGAATCTTCAAGTGATGGCTTATTCCAGAAAGAATTTTTGTACAACTGTCAAGATATCTGGGATTTCCATATTCCATGAGTAAAGATAAAGATGATTAGTCTTCATATTGTTAGTCCCTAGTTTTATTTTGTCATTCACAGAGAAAATGCTTTATGTGGTTCATTCCTTTCAAGTTTAGTGGAACTTGTTTTGTGGCCTAGGAAACTATCTCTTCTGGAGGATGTTCCATGTTCTTAAAAATAGTGTGTGTTCTGCAGTTGTTGAATGGAGCATATATTAGCCTTGCATTACTACAATACTTGAGGCAGCTAACTTTATAAAGAGGAAAGTTTTATTCAGTATTGGAGGTTCAAACCCAAGATTGGGTGGCCCCATTGGCTTCTGGTTAAGGCAGCAGATGACCCAAGCAGGGACATGTGTAGGAGCGAGTACTTGCATGTTGAGTCGGAAAGGAGAGAGTTTTCATTACCTCCTAAGTTCACCACTCTGGGGCCAAGCCTTTACATGTGGACCTATAGAAGTCCCTCATTTAAACCATAGTAGAGCAGTTAGATGAAGTTGGTGGATAATGTTCATTAACCCTGTCTTGTGGTTCTGACCCTCTGTCCTCAACATTGGTTGCTTCTGCTGTCCATACTTTTAGTAGAAATTTCAATCTCCTGAATTTCTGTTTGCTACCTTTTCATGAACTCTAATTGTTTGCTAAACTGGTGATTTGTGCTTTGTACTGTTTTCTTTGGCTAGCTTTTTATTACTGTCTTGTGTGAATTCACAGATTGTTTTATTAGGTTTATTACCTGTTTATAATTATATATTCTTTGAGGTTGCTGAGCACCTGTCGTAGTTACTTTTCTTGTTGCTGACACAAAATACCCAACATCCAAAGTTAAAGAAGGAAAAGTTTATTTTGGCTCACAGTTTGTAAAGGTTTCAGTTCATAATTGGCTGGCTCTAAGGCAGGGTGGCACATGCGAGAGGGTCATTGCAGAGCAGGCAGGAGGCAGAAGACAAGCAACAGCTGCTGCTGAAGCAGCAAGCAACAGTAGCAGCTCCTTTCTGTCCCCCCAAAATTCTTTTGTACTTTTGAATGAGTGATTTCTTTTCATGATCTGCAGTTTCAAAATCCAGCAAGTCACAATTTTCTTTGTCTAGCTTTATGGGCTGTATGTATTTTAGGTGTCCTCCTGCTCCAGAGGCCACTCTTGCTGTAAATCCCAAACTGTGGCAACCATCCAAGCTGAGATGCATCCTTGCTCACATTGTTATATGGAAAAAGCAAATGACCGGCCTCTGCTGGATGTAGGCTATGGGGTGGGGCTACAAGACAACTGCTAGACTTAATGCTAGCACTTTCAGACCTAGCCATCTCTAAAAGCCACACTTGCCAGGCTTGGTTTCTCAGGGGTCTGTGTCCTTGCAGGCCTGAATTTAAACTTCTCCATGGGGTTATGTCTAGTCCACACCTTTTCTGTGACTGTCTCCTATGGCTGGTCTCTGACTTAGTCACTGTTGTAGGATAACACTGGAAACTCAAGTGGATTTTATTTGTTGTTGTTCTGTGGCTTAGGTTTAAACAATAAATCCCTTCCTGGTTCATGAGGCCCAGCAGAGCAAATCAAATAGGCAAGGCAAGAAATTAAAAGGAGAGGTGGAAAAAGTAAAAAGAGTCAACAAAAGGCCATAATAGGACAATAATAAGTCAGTACATATCAGTTATAACCAGCAATGTCAATGGCCTCACCTCACCAATCAAGAGAAATAGACTGGCAAAATGGAATAAGAAGCAAAATCCAATAATATGTTGTATACAAGAAACACACCTAGTGCAAAAAGAAGCCCATAGACTGAAAGTGAAAAGATAGAAAACAATTCTCCATGTGACAGGCGCCCAGAAAAAACAGGGGCAGCAATCTTATTGGCAAACGTGGGTTTGATTACAGAAACTAATAAAGTATTCTCTAAATAATGAAAAAAAGAATAAGACTATAAGAGCAAGAAGCAATTTAAATATGTTCAGGGACCATTTTCATCTCCAGCCCATAGACTGAAAGTGAAAAGATAGAAAACAATTCTCCATGTGACAGGCGCCCAGAAAAAACAGGGGCAGCAATCTTATTGGCAAACGTGGGTTTGATTACAGAAACTAATAAAGTATTCTCTAAATAATGAAAAAAAGAATAAGACTATAAGAGCAAGAAGCAATTTAAATATGTTCAGGGACCATTTTCATCTCCAGAATTAAGGATTATTTTAATGTTACATCATTGCCTTTTCTCTTTTACTTTCCTTTTTAGTTTTATTTTAGGATTCCCTATTTTTAATGTTCATCCAGAGATTTCTTTAACTGAAATACCGAATAGTTTCTTTGTTGTGAAAAACTATAATAGTACACAGGATCCTAATGAGATAATTAATAATGTGAAGTGGGAAGTAAAGGGCTAAAGGTGTAGGGAAAGTGGGAAGGGTGGGAGAAAGGTAACAAGGGAGAGGAAAAAAAATATGAGAAACTGAAAAAATTGAAATAAAGTGTTTGTAAATGGGGAGGGGAGGAGGGGGTGAAGGGAGGGCAGGGACAAGGGGAAAAAATGAGAATCAAGACCTATTATGTAAAGGTACAGAATCCCAATGATGAATGTAACTGTATTGTATACCTAGATTGTACCAATAAACTCAATAAAAAGAAAAAAAAATCCCTTCCCCACATTGTGTCTAATTAAATACTTTGGCAATATGGCAAATGCTGCATTGGGTTTCTTCTCCAACTATAGCTTGCCATGGAGTTATTTCTGGAGTGAAACTCCACATAGTTTTGCAGTATACAATGGCCATGGTCTTTTCTTGAGGCTGGTGCTGCTGGGCAGGTCTGTAATTTCTCCCAGGGTATGGAATCCATGGGTGTGGAGTTAGTCAGTGGCCAGTGCACAGGGAGCATGGATCATCTGGTCCACAAGAGTATGGATCCATCCCCAGTTTTCAGTTATTTGAGATGATTGTTTTTAACAGTTTTTTTGTTCCAGCTACATATGTGGTTTTTCTGTAAGGACATACAAAATATTGTATACAAATCATATGCTTTTCAATTCTGTTTTAAGTTTATTTTCTAATACATTATAAATAAACAGAAATTTAATCTTTTTAATGTTTCAGATTTCAAGTTCCACCTATAAAGACAGGAATGAGGAATACAAACGACAGTTCACACATCTACCTGATACAGAGAAGCTGATAGCAGGTAAAAGAAAATAAAACTGAGAATGTATGAAAATAATTTTTTACCTCACTATCAGTAATAGAGATGAGTGACAGTTTATATAGAAAAATAAACCTTTGTGCTAAACAGGAAATCATTTTCAAGATAAACAGCATCTTTCTCATTCACAACTAGACAAGACAATGTAAAACCAAATTGTAATTTGGGAAGCAATTTCTGACTTGTAAGAACATTAAGTACTAAAAATGTAAGTAATAAGAAATGGTTTGTTACAGTTTCTTTTGGCACTTTTTTCATATGGTTTTGGAGGGAAAATTTAAACTTCCTGCTAAGTATATATTAAGTCACCTCAGAAAAATCTACTCTTTAATAAATATACTAGTGCAATTTAATAGACTGTACTATAAATCATATCAGTGTTATTGTTCTCATAGACTTTTTTGAAGTAGGCTTTGCGAGGAAAAATTTAGGTTTTTTTTTACAAAAGTGCTTTGTTTTTATTATCTTCTTATTATAGATTTATGATAATAAAATACAGATCTAGGTTTTTTGTTTGTTTCTTTGTTGTAGTAAAGGGAATTAAACCCAGGGCCTTTCCACTGAGATCTCCAGCACTGATTTTATTTTTTTGTTCTGAGACAAGGTCTCAATAAGTTACTACATTGGCCAGGTGAGACTCAAACCTGTGTTCCTTCTAACTTAGTCTCCTAAAGTACTGAGATTACAGGCATGTGCCATTGAGCCCAACTGTTTTAGTTTAAGGATATATTTCATTTAAAACATTTAGTTATGAGTTTCTCAGATTTTGATACTATCAGAGAATGCTTAAAGGAGTGTCCAAATTTCTAGATAATTCAGGACAATATAAATCATATAAATGAACTAAAATAATTTATAAATAATTATTTGTTACAAATAATGCATTCTCATGATAAAATTTTCAGATGCTACATAGTGCATACAATGAATATTGAGTGATTATTCCAACTAAAACCACTTAAAAATTCTCTCAGGGACATAGCCACTGTTAACAATTTTTATGTGTCATCAGAAAATTTCTGTATGTTTTTAGGAATGAATATGAACACATATATATTTATTCCTAAAATAACTTAAATAAGAGAACAATGTAATTATTTTTAATCCTGTTTGGGGCTCTTTTATTAGCACTGCAATGGATCCATACCATTCTTTTTGTATGTGTATGTGAAATTCTATTTTAAAAATATGTATATTTACAATACACAAACATGACAGTCATCTTGGGGAACTGGTATATATACATATGGTATCATAATCATTTTTACTTCCTTTTCCCCTCCCCATTCTCTCCTCTTCCCATCTCCATAAGGTCTACCTCCTTGTTTCCTAATATCTTTTTATTTTGCTCTTTCAGTTATTTATATTTTGAGTTTCTAATAAAAGAGAAAACATGATATAATATTCTGTGTCTGGTTTATTTCATTCATCATTATGGTCTCAGGATGTATCCACTTCCCTACAATTGACTCAAATTTATCTGTCTTAATCCTGAGTAGTAGTAGGAAAATGTGGTACGAAGGGGAGAAGGGTTACACAGGAGGATTTTAGGGTGATGGGATGGTTTTTAAATGGTGACTCAGTTGTGGTCACATAACTGTTCAATTGTTAAACCTTTGTAACTAGGATGTCAGGATATCCCAGCATAAAATGCCAACTGTGACAAATGAAATTAATTGTACTACAAATGAGTGTCATAACTGCAGTCAAGGGTGGATCAGTGTATATCCAGGGGATTGTCAGCAACGTAGCTGGATATAAGGTCAACACACCAAAAACAATAGCTTTCTTGTACATGAAAAACAGACTCACTGAGAGAGAAATGGGGCAAACAATTCCTTTTGCAGTAGCATCCAAAGAATTGAAATATCTAGGAATCAACCTAATGAGGGAAGTAAAAGACCTCTTCTCTGAAAACTATAGCACTCTGAAAAAAGAGATTGAAGAGGATATCAGAAAATGGAAAGACATCCCTTGCTCCTGGGTAGGAAGAATCAGCATAGCGAAAGTGGCCATACTTCCAAAACTGCTATGTATATTCAGTGCGATCCCAATTGAAATCCCAGCAGCATACTTCACAGACCTTGAAAAAACAGTCCAAAAATCCCTTTGGGACAAGAAGAGGCCTAGAATAATAACAAAAAACAATTCTAGTCAATAAAGACAAGGTAGGTAGTATCACATAACCCCCTACTTGAAACTGTACTACAAAGCTACTGTGATAAAAACATCATGGTACTAGCAAAGAAACACACCTGAAGACCAGTGGAACAGATTAGAAGATGCAGAAACAACTCCAGACACACTCAGACACTTCATCTTCAACAAAGGAGCCAAATGCCCTCAGTAGAGGAAAGATAGCCTCTTTAATAAATGGTGCTGGAAAAACTGGGTTTCAACTTGCCAGAGATTAAAACTAGACCTATATCTCTCATCATGCACTAAACTAAAATCAAGATGGATTAAAGATTTAAATATTAAAAGAGGACATCTCCTTGGCTACCGAAGTCCAACAATGCTCAAATCCCTTACGTAAAGTGGTATAGTGTTTACAGATAAACTCTGCAAACCTTCCTGCATACTTTAAATCATCTCTAGATTACTTATTATAATACCTAATACAATATTAATGCTGTGTAAATAGAGATTATACTGTATTGTTTAGGGAGAAATTACAAGAAAAAAAGTAAAAAAGTTTGCATATATTCAGCACAATTTTTTTTTACATTTTTAATTCATGGTTGGTATAATCCAGGAATGTGGAACCCACAGATATGGGGCTCATTTTGTACATATATTGCCTAGTTTTAGCTGCTGAGAGGAATTTAAAAGAATATTCTGAGAGGACTTTAAAAGATATTCTAGCAGCAGTGAGTGTGTCCAGGGCCCAAATCTTGTTTTTTAATTATTATTCTCTAATAAGAGGATTCAGACTCCCAATCTAAGGCTGAAGCATTAAAAACATGAAATGAGTGAGTTGGGAGGTTCTTGTAGAACAGAGTAAGGAAGTGCTAGGAAAAAAAAAAAAAAAAAAAAAAAAAAAAAAAGAAAAGAAAAGACAAGACAGGAGCCAAACTTGAAAGAGCTTCCAGTGATTAAATTAGAATAACTTGAGCAACAAAATAGCAGTACTTTTGGATTATAGCTTCAAGAATATAATAAATATCCTAAATATCCACCTGTCCATCTTAATGTAAATACAGAGAAGCCACACATTTCCAGAAGAATGCAAACCATCCTTAGGTGACTTATATGGATACAAAAGTTTGAAAAGTTCTGATCTAGGGAATGAAATGTGTACCTAAGGTTGATAGGCTCTTTTTATTTTTAAATTTATTTTAATTAATTTTATTGGTACGTTTTAAGTATACAATATGATGACATTCATCATTGGAAATTTGTACCTTTATATAATATATATTGGTTCTTTTTCTTTCCCCATTCTGCTGCCCTCCAACCTCTCCACCCTTTCCTATTTACAAAGACTTTGTTTCCATTTTTCTTTTTCTCTTATTAATTCCATTCCCTTCTTTCCTTTTCCCAACTCCTTCCACTTACCCTTCCCCTTAGGATCTTTTCTTCCTATTTCACAAACTCTATTATGCCTTTTGATACTATTTACACTCTCAGTTTCTCACACCAGAGAACTTATTTGGTTATTTGCACATGTTTGTGCTAATTATTTCACTTAAGAGTATTGCTTCAATATGCATCCATTTAGCTACAAAGGTCTTAATGCCAGGATGGCGGACTTTTTAGAGATTGAGTGCCCAGACTGCCACCTAAAACCCACTTATTTACTGCAAAGTGCCAATGATGCAACTAAAACTGAATACTGAGGTTCTAGCTTAGAAAAATGACTCACGCACTAACATCTTTTATCAGAGCTTTCAATAATACATACACTTTTTATTGAAAGGTTAAAGTGCATTTGGTGTGCTTTTGCACAATTAATGTGATCTTTGCTTTTGTTTGGATGCCGATAACTTGTTAAACCTTGGCCGGGTGACTTGGCTTGTGTGCCATAGAGGGCTCTGTGTGACAGCTGTGGTACTTGTGCCAAAGGTTTGCCACCACTGTTTTATGTTGTGGCTGTAATGGTGAGGAAAGTCTTTAAAATATTTTAACCAATTCCGGAAATTGGTTAAATTAATTTCACCAGCGTTGACCATTGTCTAGCACCAGATACACTTAGGAACAAGCCACTAATTTCACCAATGGGGCAAAAATCTCTCTCTCTCTCTCTCTCTCTCTCTCTCTCTCTCTATCTATCTATCTATCTATCTATCTATATATATATATATATATGCCAATTAGCCAAACATTTGATGTGGAACAGTAATAATAATAGTTGTAGTACTTATAGTATTCTCAGATGGAGTATAGTCCTAATTAAATTGTTGGCTGATCCATCCTAAATGTGAATTTGTAATTGGGACAACTAATTTTTGTAGCACAAGTATGTGTACTTTTTTCACTTCTAATATTCATCTGTGACTTTTTTCTTTATTAATCTTCACCAAATAAATATTTATTAAAATTAAAAATGCATTGGACCCAATATCTCTACTTGTAGAAAAGTGGTAGTCTGAGAATATATTAATTCTCCCACTCTTCTGACCTACCATGAATATGGGCAGAGGGTGGCTTTGGTCGGGGAGAGAAATTTTTGAGTGGAATAACTGAAATGCTGATAGTTGGAATTTGGGCTAAATGTACTGAAATACACTGGGAATAATAATTGGTTGTTAAAAGGATCTGTAACTTAAAATACATTTTTACTCGATTCTACCCAACAAAAGTCTCTGTCCCCAAATGTTTTCAAAGAATTTTATTCAACTTTCAAAGAGCAGATGGCCTCAAATTGTGAAATAGAAAAAGAGTAAAATATTCTTCATTTGTTCTTTGAGTAATTGTAACCTTGCAATTAGTTGGGAATGAAGAACCGACCCGAATAAGCAGTTGGAGTGCTAGGCCTCTGT